AGAGGCCAGTAACTGTTTTTCGATAATTTTGGACACGCTAGTTAAATCCAACGGCAGGTCAGTTGATGGTGGTGGTGGTGATGATGCTTCTGAGGCTGCTAGTGATGATGATGGTGATGATGATGATGATGACGTTGATGATGACGATGATTGTGAATATTTAGAAAAAATTGTGCAAAATATTTTCGTCTCATTATCATTTTCGCTGCCACTCTTCCCATCATCATCATCATCATCTCCATCATCAATACGATCATCATCATCTCCATCATCAATACGATCATCACCATCATCATCATTATCATCTTCAACGCGATCATTATCATCATAACCGCCAGAATGGTAAATGAAGTTAGCCTACTGGTAAATGAACTTCGTCGTATAACAATTCTCTGGGATGAACTCTGGCTCGGCGCACTGACCCAGATTCGCAGTGACCTCAGTAAGCGGGTCAAACACCTGGACTTTGAAATTAAGAAATTATTATGTAGCGCTTCATTGACCTCCGAGGAAAGAGAGATGGCCGTCGTGAAGAAATATGAAACCGTTCTCAAGCCGGTTCGTTGTTCGCCGATTGATTGGTGCATTGTTTGGCTGTATGAATATGAATGCCCTGTTAACTTATTCCTTTACACCATTGCTACTATGATTATTCTTATTTATTATTATTTATTCTTTTTATTCTTATTTATTCTTTTTATTCTTATTATTAATATCCAGATCGTCTACCAGTTGGAGAAACTGGTGGAGATCACGAGACAGCCTGCCGAGTCGAACCACGAAAAGTGGTTCCAGGAGAATCTGGGTGGGTAGACTGCTGATGTTCTCATTGGCATTCATCATAACCGTTGTTGTCATTATTATTGTTGCTGTTGTTGTTGCTGTTGTTTTTGTTGTTGTTTTTGTTGTTGTTGCTGCTGTTGTTATTATTATGGTCGTTAGTTGAAATTATTAATTGACCTCATTAATTATTTTCCCAATTAACTATATTTTGATTAACTCAACGACGAACAAAACATTTGACCGTCTCATTTAATTATATTGGCCTAATTAACGAAATATCCGATTGTCCTAATTAATTTGTGACCCAATTAATGAAATTAATTGGGCCTAATTAATTATCGGCTCCAGGGCACCAGATAAAGTCGGCGCTTAATGCCATCAAGAGGCCATCGAACGCTAAGAACCCCGAAGTGGCTTGGACCATTTTCAAGCAGGTAGTTAAGCTTAAGTTCATCATCATCACTATTGTCATCATATTCCTTATCATCTTCTTCTTCTTCTTTACAACATCATCATCGTCAACATCACCAGTACTACAGCATCATCGTCATCACCAGTAAAATTTTCATCATAATCACCATAAGCTCCACCAAGCGATACACCAAAAGGTTCAGAAACATAGCAGCCAGCACCTGCTTCAAATGCAAGACATCTCGCCATCCTTAAAATCGCTCACCAACACTGTTATATCTATGCCAGGCTTGACGCACGGCGGAGAGGTTGGTTGATTGGCTGGCTGATTGATTGGTTGATTGGCTGGCTGATTGATTGGTTGGATGGCTGGTTGGTTGGATGGATGACTGGCTGGTTGGTTGACTGGCTGTTTGCCTGACTGGTTGGTTGGTTTCGTCGATTTATATATTATCGCCTGCAAGTCAGTTAAATTTAACCAAATTTTACGTATATACATCACATCCTCATATCCTCTCATCACATCCCATTACGTCACACCACGTGATCAGGTAGTAACGATCGAAGCGATCAGTAGCGCAGTTCAAATCCTGCCGACGAAAACTAAACCAAAAAAACTCATTTTCATTGGCTCTGATGGTCTTAGGCGAGGAATTATTTCATTTTTTTTTTCTTTCATCTGATTTTTTCTTTCACTCTCTCTTTTTCTCTCTCTCTCTCTCTCTCTTTCTTTCTCACTCTCTCTGTTATTCTTCTTTTTGTATCTTTGTTCCTTCCATTTCCTACCTCACTTTCCAATCTCACCACTTCCCTTTTTTTCACTATTTCAATTTTTTCGTTATCTTTTTTTTCATTACCGCTCGCAAACCTTAACAAAAACAAACACAACACACACACAAACACACACACACTCAAACAAACACGCACACACACACACACACACAGGTATCCGTACTTGTTCAAAGGGTTGGAGGATTTGCACCTGGATGAGAGGATCATGCAGTTTTTATCGATCGTTAATAACATGTTAACCAGGTGTCTGTTTGTTTGTGTGTGCGTGTGTTGTGTGTGCGTGTGTGTGTGCATGCGTGTGTGTATTGTTTCATTTCCTTTCATTGTTTAACCATTCATTCAGTTAATGTATATCAATGCTATCGCACCTCACCAGCCACAAGGGGGTGGTCTATAGGGCTCGCCACTACTCCGTCACCCCACTAGGGACCCGTTCAGGGCTGATCCAGTGGGTCGAGGGGGCCACACCGATGTTCTCAATCTACAAAAAGTGGCTACATAGGGAAGCGACCGCCGCCCAGCTTAAAAATGTAGGATTGTAGCGTGTGGTGGTTTGCTGCTGCTGCCAGGAATGCTGATGATGATGATGATGGTGGTGGTGATAATGATGGTGTGATGGTGGTGGTGATAATAATGACGATGGTGGTGATAATGATGATGATGGTGGTGATAATGATTTATCAACTCAACTTTTAACCAGTCAACGACCACTCAGACGATGGCCAACCAGCCAACGACCAATCAGACGATGGCCAACCAGTCAACAACCAATCAGGCTGTCGGTGTTGTCATACCAAGACCGGCTGAACTCTTCTACAATAAGTTGACTCCTCTCTTGAAAGAGAAAGTTGGAATAATTTTTTTTTTTCAATTTTTTAAAGTTTTGTTTTTCCAAGATACAAAATTACCTTCGTCGTTTTATTTATTCATCATAATTATTATTCAATAAGTTATATTAAATATGTTAATTTATTAATTTATTCATAACTTTCTGCGAAACTTAGGGCATCAGTATGGAACAGCGTAGTGAATGGCCGTCATCAATTTTGAAGAGGGTGTTGACAGAATTAATTAAAGAGACGCCCAAAGATTTGCTATCCAAGTACTTTCGCTAATGCTTCACTGTGATTGGTCGCTTTTGTGCTAATTATTATTCATGAGTATTAGTTAGTGGCATAATTATCAGCATACAACGCAGTTACTTCATTAAATTAATAATTAGTAATAATAATAATTGACAACAAATCCAGAGAATTGTGGTGTAGTAGTAACTCGCCAGCTGATTGGTGGCAGATCAACCAATCGTACGCGAGGTCAACAGCTGTGATGTCTATGATTGGCTACATCATTGGCCTAGGTGACAGGCATCTGGATAATCTACTCATTGATTTGAACACCGGAGAAGTAGGCGTGTTTATTGGCTCGAATCGGATGCTTTTATTTGAACTATTTGAACAATGACTGAACATTTAAAGCCTTTAAAATGTCAAAAGTATAATTAAATATAATTAAATTGATAATTATTAAACCCGGTGAAGATTGTGCACATCGACTACAACGTGTGTTTCGAGAAGGGTAGGTCGCTGAAGGTCCCTGAGAATGTACCTTTCAGGATGACGCAAAACATTCAACATGCGCTCGGCCTCACTGGCATTGAGGTATGCGGTTTTAAAAAGTCAATAATTGCGAAAATATTTCTTTAAAAAAATGTTGAAAATTATAAAATTAAACGTTTCATAAAAATTTCAATTTTTATTTAAAATATTTGTCAGAAAAAATTTTTTCTCTCAACAGGGCACATTTAGAATGAGTTGTGAGCTGGTCATTCGAACGATGCGAAAAAATCGCGAAACGTTACTAACTCTACTAGAAGCCTTCGTCTACGATCCGCTAGTTGATTGGACGGTGGCCAGCCAATGGGGTTTCGCCGCAGCATTCTATGGCGGGAATCATCATTTGGCGACCAATAAAGATGGACAGAAGAAGTTAGAGGAGGAGATAACTTTTGATACGTTCTGTCTGCAGATGATGGAGATCAAAAGTGATTGGCTGAAGAATAGGTTGGTTCGCCTCTATAGTGCAATTCTCATTAGTTTTCTTAGTTGATCATTCATTCATTCATCCATTCGTTCATTCATTTGCTCATTCATTCATTTATTCATTCACGAATTATTTCATTCATTTACTAATTCATCTGTCCATTCATTCATTCATTCATTCATTCATTCATCCATTCATTCATTCATTCCAGGGATAATCTGAGCGATGGCATTGAGAACTTGAAACAGTGTATAATAAAAGTGAGGGACCTAACCTACCTTCTTAATGAAGACAAAATATTCTTGAAAGAGCTGGAAAGCCTCTCAGATTACTTGAAGGCTGGTTTGGAGCAGGGGAAAGGCAGCTGCAGAGATGCAGATGACGGTGATGATAAAGATGATGATGAAGGCAAAGGGGGGAATCATTGCAAAGATTCGCCCCTTCGTACTATTCAAAAAAGGTTTATGTTTGTTCGTTTGTTTGTTTGTTTGTTTGTGTGTGTGTGTTGTTTTTAAATAAATAAATGAAATAAAAGAATCAATTAACGAGTTAATGAATGAATGGGCGAGTGAAATAACGAATGAATGAACGAGCAAACGAATGATAGAATGAAAGAATAAAAGAAAGAATGAATGAATATAGGAATGAATGAATGAATGAATGAATGAATGAATGTACATATTAATTTCCACAATCATGCCTCCAACTGCACAGATACATGTGTCAGCTACAATTGGAATCATGTAAAAATATGCTGGTCGGGAAGATCAACAGTTTCAAAGAAAACATCGTCAAAATTATGGCCATTTTTAAGGTTATCGTCTAAATTATCAAATGTTTGTCTGACTGTCTGTCTGTCTTTCTGTCTGTCTATGTCTGTCTGTGTGTGTGTGTCACTGCAATTGTATCCATGTATATATGTTTTCACATGTTTTTTTCATTATAAAGAATACGTCAAACGCCCTGAGAAATTT